GGCCATTTCCACTGTTTTTCTGCAGTGTTTGGGGCTGATCAGATTAGTTGAACAGAAGCCTTAAATGGAAGTTTGGGCACGTTCTTTGCTAACTCCTACTCATCTTTCTGGTTTCCACACCTTTTCCACAGTCTCCTTTCGCCTCAGCTCCCCACCCAGTTGGCCAGCCTAGGATAGATCTAGTTTGGGTTGGTGGAAACTGTAATCTGATCAACGCATGACTGGTTCAGACCTAACTGGGTATAATAAAGCATGAACAAAGACACCCATCTGTGCTTCTTTTTCATTGAGGACTTGCTTTCCTGGCATGTTCCCCCCAAATTATGCCAAATACAGCTGATTGCCATCACAAATGGAATTCTCACCTTCAGAATGATCAAGTTACCCAGCAAAGCCTTCTCTTGCTTCTTCCACTGTTTTTGGAATTGAAAGCAATCCAGCTGTCTCTAAGGATAAAAATGAAAACAACCATAAAAAATAAGCCACTCTTACATTGCAAAAAGTGGGGGAAATGGGCCATTTTTTAATATTAGAAATTTCAAACAGATGGTGAGCTAATTTATATTTTCATTTTGAAATTTACTTTCCCAGTGGGAGTGCAATTAAGCCACATTTTAAGTCCATTCAAAGTGGCCTTCATCTGAAAATGTTGTAGACATATCTATAGATAATGCTCTCAACCAATTGGCAGAGGTTAAGGACCCAGGAATGCTAGCTCCCCCTCTCCTAGACCACCCTAACCAAGGGGCACTCAGAATAGGAACCTCCTCCATGAAAACTGGCCTCCTATCCTCTCTGCCTCCCATCCTGCCCCACTTAGGGCTACTTTCTACTGAGCTAGCAAAGCGATCTTCCTTTGTTGCAGATTTGACAATGCCAGCCCCCTGCTTGAAATAAACCTTTCAATGACTCCATATGGCCCTCAGAATTAAGTTAAAACTCTAATATTTGCAGGTTGTCAAAGTCCTTGATCTGATCCTGCTTACTCCTGCCTGCCTCAGTCCTGGTCTCTCCTCCCATTCTGCACTCTGCCCTTGAGTCACACTAAGCCATGTGTCATCCCGAGATGTGACTCTCCCTCTCTCACTGCCAGGAATTTGTACTCACTGTCCCTCTTCACCTGACTCATGCCTCCCTTTCCATTTTGACTTACAGTCTAGTTGCAATCCAGTGATAACACTGTTTTACCATGCTAAAATATGGCCAAGATACTTTTACCTAAAACATTTAGAATGCTATAGCTTCACTGATTATACCCATGTTTGCCCATGATTTTCAGTCTTATTGAACATATTCCATCTTAGACATTTTCCTGTGTTGTTCAGTGAAAACACATATTAAAATTCTGCAGCAACACAACCTTACAAAAAGATCAACAACCCCAAAAGACAAACATTTTGCCTAAATTGCTGAAAGCAATCTAACCATGAGTGAATGATTCTTTTCCACATATGATGGAATTTTCCACTAATGTGTCTCCCTGACTCTGGCCACATCCACATGTGCTCTTGTCATGCCTTGTCACACACACTCCACCTCTGAAATAGCAGTCCCCTAAACTAGATGTGTTCTATTTCCATTTGTTTATTCCATGATTGAATAAATTCTAACATCTGAACTACATGTTGTACAAAACTGAGTTATAATCCAAATTTTAAAGGAGGAAGTAATGGTGGCAAAGGATATACAGATATTGTGAGACTCATCTGAGATTTCATAGTGTTTATGACAAAGATAAAAATAGAAGTCCTATCTTTGGATCCTGTTCTCAGTTTAGAGGTTCTCCTGGTTTGGGGAATAATAGAAAAAAGAGAATTTGTCCTTTGTTCTGGAAACTAATAGCCTTGAAGAAGGATGAGTTCCAGAGCAGTGGGCCCCAGACCAGGATGGTCAGCAGCCCTTCCAAAATTCAATCTGGAGTTGACGGGTAGAGTGGGTGCTCCCACTGTACTTGTTATGGGGACATCTTTGGGTTCGCTCCACCTTTTCATTTCCTCCTTCAGTGTAGTGTCACTTGCCCGAAATAGCTTTTAAATGACTTGCTTTATGGATTTTTTCCATAGAGCACTACTCCTTTCCTTTGAGACTTGAATTTAATTAATTAATTAATTAATAATTATTTTTGGCTGCATTGGGTCTTCGTTGCTGCGTGCGGGCTTTCTCTAGTTGCGGTGAGCAGAGGCTACTCTTTGTTGTGGTGCGCGTGCTTCTCATTGCTGTAGCTTCTCTTGTTGCTGAGCATGGGCTCTAGGCACGCGGGCTCAGTAGTTGTGGCTCGTGGGCTCTAGAGCACAGGCTCAGTAGTTGTGGCACACGGGCTTAGTTGCTCCATGACATGGGGGATCTTCCTGGACTAGGGTTCGAACCCATGTCCCCTGCATTGGCAGGCGGATTCTTAACCACTGAGCCACCAGGGAAGTCCCTGAATTTAATTTTAGTAAATGGATTGAATTTTATTTTTCTTTTAATGAGAGCCGTTGTCATCACATCACCCATCATTTTCTCCTTCCATATTTGTGTACCTTTTATTCATGTCACTCATTTATTGACCGCATTGTTAACTTCTATAATTTTTTCTTTTATATCTTCACATAAAGTTAACTCCATGGCTTTCTTAATCAAGAGAGTTTTTATACTAACTTATTTAAAGCCCTGTAAATCTAATCACTTCAATACATTTTGCCTGTTTACTAGTAAGGAACAAAATGCATTGATGCTTTTTCCTTTTAAAAGAAAGTTTAGTTTAAGTTCAGAAAAGTTGGGCAAAACCAGATGTGATGTCTTACTGTTTTTTATTGCTTCAGTGTTCTGGAACAAAATGGCCCCTGCATGCTTGATATAATTAATTAGACAATTAATTTAGGCCTAGGCAGCTTGGAGCCAGGCTCTGGAGGCAGGCAGGGGCCCCACCATTTCAAAGCTGGGTTACTCTCAGCAAGTTACATACCAGTGTGATCTTCAGTGTCTTTCTTTGTCAAATATAATTGTTGGGAGCAAGAAATGAGATGACACCTAACAAGGCACTTTATTAACCTCTTCTCTAGCCCTCCCTCTCCTGCCTTTTTAACAAGTATTTCAGGAAGAGTTAATGAGAACCAGATGATAAAGCCACAAACACCATCCTTGGTCTCCTGTTCCTCCCAAATAATAATAATAATAATAATAATAATAATAATAATAATAATAACTGGAAGCAAGTAATTAATCCCCATGATTTGAAAAAAAATGTGAATATATGGCTCATATATGTCTATTACTAATATATGTAAATGATGAGGCTTTGTTTGACCCAGACATGCCACTGATTTTATAGATTAGTGTACAAGGTTAATCTGAAATTGCTCCATATTCTGCAATTTTAATTACCAAATTTGGAATTGGATGGAGTTCTGACCGTAATCACAAGAAACTCAAATACAAGAAGATGCTATTTTCCCTGATGCTTTGTTATTTAGTTCCACTGACAGCAGATTAGTCAGTAAGCCCTTAGGAGAATGCTTTCCACTGAGCCTCAGACTTGGGAATGCCTTGGCTGTTTTTACAAACAAGCTAACCTGATGGAAAGTCATTTTCAGCTGAAGAATCCTACAGCACAATCACTTGAATTGTGTTTACTTATTTGGATACCATTTTGAAGTGTTTACTTTTCAATCTCTTTTTTGACATCCTGCAGCCATGAATGTCAGGACATTAGGGAGATCCAAGACCTAATTCTTACCACGGGGCTTGAAGTAATTTTGATGAATTCCATAGATGAAAGATGGCTATCATTCTTCAACTAGAAATGTAGAGTCTCATCATTTGAAGAAGTTGTAATGATCTCTAGTCTAGTCACACGCTTGAAGCTTAAATTTGCTCCAAAACCTCCCAGTCAAGTGAGATTCAACCCTTCAGAGTATCCTTGGACAGCTCTGGCTATTAAAAAATTCTTCCTTCTCTTAACCCTCATAGCTTCCACCCTTGGCTCCAACCAATGTTGGGGACATAAAAAGCAGCTCTGCTCAAACTTATGATGCTGCAAACTTCTTGAGGGCAGGAACTGTATCCACTACAGCTTCTAGTAACTTGATACATGATTGCTGAGTGGAGTTCAAAGCAGATTTTGTTCATTTCAATATATATCTTACAAAAGAGCAGATCATCAGTATATTTAAGTTCTACTGAGAAAGAATCACATAAAATTACTGATTTTATTATCTAAATGCTAGAGCTGATATATTTTATTCTTTCAATTTTATAATTTGAGCAATTTTTGTCTGTCATGTACTGCAGTTTCCCTTCATTATAAAATAACATACTTGGGACTTCCCTTGTGGCGCAGTGGTTAAGAATCCGCTGGCCAATGCAGGAGACATGGGTTCGAGCCCTGGCCTGGGAAGATCCTACATGCTGCAGAGCAACTAAGGCTGTGTGCCACAATTACTGAGCCTGTGCTCCAGAGCCTGAGAGCCACAACTACTGAGCCCGTGTGCTGCAACTACTGAAGCCTGTGCGACTAGAGCCCGTGCTCCGCAAGCCCCCACTTGCCAAAACTAGAGAAAGCCCGTGCACAGCAACGAAGACCCAACGCAGCCAAAAAAATTAATAAATTAATAAATAAATAAATGTATTTTTAATAAATAAAATAACATACATAATTGCACTACAGATATTAACTACAGACGTCACATGTGCAGGACAGACTGTCTCAGGCACAGAGGAGTTGAAACCCCACTGAAGTAGGCATTGGACGTTCTGGGTTCTAGCACCAACTCCACCACTATCATCTGAGTGACACTGACTCTTGGTTCCTCTTCTGAAAACTGTGAGGGTTGAACCAAATGTTCTCTTAAAATTCTTTCCAGCTTTACAGGTCATTTGCATTTTTGACTTATTTGTCCCCATCAAAGAACATAGACCTCTGATTTCCAGTTCAGTTCTCAATTTATATTGCCAGTAACTATCCATATGTACACTGTTTAAAGCTAGGGCTGCTTTTTCTTTCCTTTTTCTCATTGCAGAACACTTTTCTTCAGGAAACAGTGCGTAGAGAGTGTGAAGAACGCTTTGAACTGACGGAGGCTTTGAGTCAAGCCAGAGAACAGCTCCTGGAGCTCAGGAAGCTCGGAGGACGGTTACCCCTATCCCCATGCTCCCTCACCCAGGGCAGCCTAACCTCCTCTGTTGCAGCTAGCAGCAGTCAGGGAGAGAAGAGGCTCACAAGACTGAACTCTGAAAAGAGAATCAAAATCCCCAGCCTGCACGGAGTGTCGAAACCCACCACTTCCCCAGCCTCAACTCAGCCCAGCAGGGTCAGCAGCTCAGGTTTGCCCACCTTCACCCAGCCACACCCTCCCCGGGGTCGACCGTCTTCAGTCAGTGAGACCCGGCAGAGACTGGCTGTCATTCTGCAGAGGAGACTGAGTCAGCAGTGATGGAGCCGAAGTCAGGAGCAGCTCCACACAGCATGCCTGTCTTTCCCAGAGTCCAGAAACTCACTGTACGAGGATGAAAAAGATCAAATTACTACCACAGATTAAGAATGCATACTTACAGATATTTTTAACAAGACAGTTGGAAAAGCTAAAGAATTGTGAAACCACATTTTCCAAGAGGCCTTTGAAACTGCAACAGATAATGAAGTTGTTGGTATTCCAGAGGGCCAGTTTCTATATTTATGTATTGTGTGTTTCAATGTGCTCTATGAATATGCCCTTTTAGAGATCATAGGTAAAAATTTTCACCCATAGCATCTTTTCTACTTTTTTGCACCATTACAAGCAGATCTACTTCCACAAAATAATAATAACAGATTTTATTGGTTTTGTTGGTGTTTGTTCATTTGTTTGTTGACCTGAATAGGTTAAATAGATGTAATTAGTATTCCAAATAGAAAATGAAAGGACTTAATCCTTTATTTGATAATTTTCAAAATGCTTATTCAAATATTCACAAAGTTCATCATAATCAAAACTTTCTCTTTTTCACCTCACAATCTAACTGGTTAATCTAATTTCTTTGTAAGTGTGGTCAGAAGTAATGATAGGTAATCTTCAGGAAGACAGTCTGGGGACCCTCTAGAAAAAGGGACAGAAAGTCCAATTCAAGAAAAAGGTGGTTTATTTCTCAAACTATAGAGATTATTTTCGATAACAAGGAGCCTGGCCATGAAAATAGTACTTGGTAGAGATTTTCTGCATTGAATGCTTTTTGGTATTCCAGGTCAGATTTTGGTTTTAACTAGTATTCTGGAGCCATTGTGTAGAGAACTAATTCAAGACAGTTTAGTAGATGCACGTAGTGCTAATTTGGGATTCAAATTGTATTACCCCTGAAAATGGGCATCTTGTTAACATGTTTTCTATTTTCAGAGTGAAAAATTAAAACCAGAAACCAGACCAGCTATTTTATGTAATCTTAAAGCTTCAGGCTCCTCCCATTTCTTAAAACAACTCTTTACCTTACGCTAGTATTTATTTATCATTTTATCCAATCTAATAATAGTGTATTTTTCTTCCATGACTGATTTTACTCAAATCCTTCATCTGACTGCATCATAGATATTCAGGCTTCTTACTCCCAGATTAGAATGATACTAACACGTGTGAAATATGGCACATAAAATTCTGCTATTTGGCCACCATATAGATGAGAGAATCCAAAGGTACTTGGAATCCCTTCCATGTGCAAAAAAAGTAAAGTTACTAATCAAAATCAAGTTTATATCCAATCTTTCAAAGGGTTGATCTAATCTAGGGTGTTTTAACCTCAAAAAATTCCACATTAGTGCCACTAACTTCCCTGACTAGTTTAAGTGAGCACATCGTGTATAAAGTCTTAACAGTGCTTGCTTTTGTTTTACAGAGATTGGTGTACTTATAATGCATTTGACAAGAGAACATAATGTCATCTAATGGTGGTGCTGGAGTGGATCTTAGAGGCCAACCCCAACAATCTCTCTCTTTTTTTTTAATGCCAGTTTGTTCGTGTTTTATTGACGCCTGGATGCTCAGGCCTTGATCGCGCACTTCCATGGTGGGTGTGGCTCCTTCCGCAGCTGCCTCTTGGCCTTCAGGTTCCCTTCGGGCTTGTTCGGCCGGAGTCACATGGCACAGTTCCAGGGGTTTATACTTCTCGCCCTTATATAATTTCCTGAGGTTCACCTGGTTGATGACGGTGAGAACATGGGCGATGGATTTGCTAACACCTCGGACCTTGGAGAGTTTAGAAGCCGCGCCTCTTGTCACTTTAGCGACGCGCTGCTGAGACAGCGCCACCTTCAGGTCCTCCGGTTGTTTCAGCAGCTCCTCCTTGCCTCCAAGGTCTCAGGCCTTAATCTTGGCCATGGCTGTACAAACGGCCTCGGCCGGCTTCTTAGAGGGGAAGAGAAACAGTCTCTTTACAAATAAGGAATAGATGCTCAAAGAAGTCTAACTTGGCTAAGGTGGGACAGCTAGTTAGTGAGTGAGCTAGAACCAGAACCACTACTACCCGAACCCAACCTTTCCACCTCACTTTTCCGCTTACCAGAGAGTCCCAAACCTCCATCATGACTTTTGTCAGAAGCACCTACACTGTGGTTACCTAATATTTTCTTTAAATGCACTCAATTTTTAAACTTAAATTTATATAAAAAGGAAGCTTGACCCAAGGAGGAATAATTATAAAGTTGAGTTTAATATACTTTAAGATAAATATGTATCTATTAAAATACAAAATGTTGTTAACATACCCCCTAAAATTATCTTGTATAATGCCAGCAGTACTCGTGCCACACTCTGGAGACTACTCCACTAGACCTCAGTGTTTTTGATCTGGTGTTTGCATGTTCAGATTACAAATACTCATGACATAAGGTGGATAGCAAAAACTAGGGGAAACTCTAGTAAAAAGCACAGGAGAATATTTTGGGCAACAGTCTTTGTTGTCATATTATACGTGCTTTTCCACAATCTTGCAATTTCAGTTCTCCAGGAACCATGCGGATACATTTTTTCTAAATTATGAACATATTTAAATTTGTAAAGAACGTCACCCATACACTTTTCTAAAGTGACATACAGACCATCCATGCAAAACCTGGTTTCTCAGTTTGTTGTTACACTCTTACTTTACAATGAGTAATTCGGTAAATAGGCACTCTGAGAATAGAATCATGATCTGCAGTCAGGTTGTATTATATTCCACATGTATGTCAGAGAGGTAATTCCATGGATAAACATAGAGACAATATTTACATTTATTTCAACCTAGACCATCTGAAGCAGTCTAGGTTGTGTGCTTATATCTTTTGAAGAAAGACACTTAGAAAAGAGAATAGCATTAGAGTATGTAACCTGAGGGTTAAGAACACATTCAAACTTTCCTTGATTTTTGCACTGATTAACTCCTGGCATGAAAGAGTATCAGGAATGTTAAGAAACCAGTGAATATTATGGCAAAATAGGGCTCTCAAATGCATATAATGGATATTAAGTCTAATAGTTTTAATTTCCCTATAGACATACATTTTCCATGACTTCAGTGGAAGAATTTATAGGTGTCAAAAGAAAAGAATAGCATAGAAAATATTCCTTAGGAAATTATAATAATATTTGTTTCTTTTCTTAAACTTAGATTGGTAGACAAAGATGGGGGAATTTTTCTATAGTTAACAGATTTCTCAAGCACTATATTTTAAAAGTTTATTGAATTAAATGACTATAGTTAGTCAGAACTACTTAAAAGTTATATTTTCTGGCAATAGAATTGACTGGAAGAGAAATTAATATTGAAAATTATGTTAGCTAAGATCTTTTAATGTTATATTAGTCTAAAAGTTTTTGTAACATTACAGATTATAGCCAATTTCTTTTTGATTATGCAACAAGTTTTCTCAAGCTTTATCTTTTAAAGTTCTTATGATTATTATAATATTGCACTTATAGATCAACCTAGTACCCTAAAAGGGTTAATTCTCTGTAGCTGAAAATTCCGAACGATCATGTTGACTCTTATTGAGCATGGGAAATCAATTTGGTGTGTGTCCGAAGTTCACAAATCCCATGGTAATTATGGATTTTTTTATTTTCATGTTTTAAGATAATAATTAGTGTATACTGTAACTTGCGCAGGGCACCTTTAATGATCCCAAACCATGATAAACAATTATAGAAGCATTCCTAAGGCAGTGTCTGTGGTATCTTAAGGAAGAAATTCTACTTTTTCTTTTGAAAATATTAACTCTGTGTAATAATAAATTGTAAGGCCAGTGTAATTGTGTTGCATCTTTAGAATCTGAAATATAAATTATATCATCTTTGTATATTCTGAATTAACAGATAAAAAATTTTAACAGTAGTTGAATCTGAAACACACTTATCCTATGGCAATATTTACCATGATCCAGAAAATTTTCTCTCTGCTCTAGCATTTTTATAGTATAATGCTTTATATACATTAAGTGAGTAAAAAATGTACTAAAAATCCCTTACGCTCATAATATAGCCTTAATACTTAGGCTATATTATATATTCACTCATTTCTTCAACAGATATGGAGAATTGAAAAAGCACTGTGAAAGTTACAACGATAATTAAGATGTACTACAGATGCCCAAGAATTGTATAGTAGAGGGCAGTAAGGAAGTGTATGCAGAGATTATAATATAGGGCAGCAGGTGCTGGAAAGAGAATCAAAAACAAGGTGTTATATGAGTTCAACTTTTTGATGGAAGAATCAGGGAACACTTTAAGCAAGAATTGGAATTTACAATAGGTCTTGAAGAATGGAGGAGGGTTTTATAGAAGAAGGTATACCAGGTAGAGGACATGTATAAACAGAGTCATAGATATGTAGAAAATACTTGGTGAAGGGAAGTAGTGGGAACCTGAAAAAGGTAGGTTGACCCCAGAGCTTGGAGGTGTTGAATAAGAGCCCATAGCAGGATTTTGACTTAGAAGTGGCATGCACTTTGTTGAAATCTGGGAACATAGCTATGGCAGGGCTGTATTGGAATAATTATAGAGTGAAAAGGCTGGAGGTGGAACACCAATCGGTAGATTTGTAAAGTAGTCCAAACAAGAGTTAATGAAGTTCTGAATAAAGATGCTAATGGGAATAAACAGGAAGCAGCTGATTCAAATTCTATTCAGAGAAGGGAAAGAATTTGTTCCCTGTTAAATGCACTTTGAAACCATTACCAGCCATTGCCACTTAGCAGGGGTGCAGTGTATGAAATTGGTGATCACGCTTTATTTAAGAATATTACAGCTTCTCTGAAAATGTGAAATAATAGGAACTACTTTTTTGTTTGGGCAACAGATAACTAACCCACAGATTCAGTATTCATAAGAATTCTCCTTAAAGCAAACTACAAATCTGAATAGTGTTCTAAGAATTATGAGAGAAGAATGTGGAAATTGACATTAAAAATAGCTATCATCTTGGCTCAAAG